GTTTAACACGTCTATGGTGCTGCTGCAATGCCATGCTGATTGAACCATCATAGAGGCCTGATGGTCACCCAACTTAGTCGATGTATCATCACAGTCTTTCCTGTTAGACACAAATGGGGGAAAAATTACATTTATGAACAAGCGCATTCCCACATGGACTTGTTAAACAGTAATGGAATGTTTATTCGCTGTGATAGGACTAATAAGAACAGCTGATTACATAGCCTGCGCTGTACAAATCATGACAAAATCGGCAAAATCTTACAAAAGACAAAATCAGACGAATTCGGCCAAATCTGCCACAAAGACGACGAACCCATACAGAAAAAACTCCATACACAATGTGTGTATAGCTTTATGTGGGCGTGCTTCACTGTGTGTGAGTGGCATGCTGCAGTACTGTACACACGAAGCTGGAAACTGGGAACCATACAACTATTTTTGCATGTCTGCTATCGATCTCTGTGTTGGCAGTAGTATGGTTTGTATGTTTAGCGTGGTTGCAGTCAATCTACATTGTATGGGAACTGTTCGCATTGGACTTTTTTATGCCACTGCTAACTTACCATGGCTGCATGGAAATCTTTCGGCCTGTTAGTTTTACATTGCGTCTGCGGTAAGTTGACAGGGACGTTAGTTTGTGTTCCCATTGGATTTAATTTTGTAATTCTACAGGAAAGTCACAGTAAAATAACCAAAAAAGTCCAATGGGAAAATGGCTTAAGACTAGACCCTTCCGAACTTAGGTTGGGCACAGGGAATCCCCACCACCCTATATTTAGCATGAGTTGTGTCCATTTTCCATTTCAGAGATTCACCTTTGACAAGGTCATTGATGACTCCTTCTGCAGTTTCCATTCGTAGATTTGGTGCACCATGCTGCTGAGCTGTTACTGTTACTAAAACTGTCTTCTCTGTGGCAATGAAGTCAATCTCAGAGCCAAGATAGTCCAGCCCTCTCACCTTTCAATTTGAAAACATGACATACAGATTTTAGATTTGAGAGCCCTCGAGCTTTTTTCAATGGAAAAAAAGTTCACTTAACTTTGAAAAGGACCCAACACCACGACCTATAGTGACAGAATAATGTTGCTTGACAAAATTAGGGGCATGTAATTTCACAATGCCTTTTGTGAAATAATATGGAATTGCACTGGCAGATGAAACAGAACTTTAAAATTCACGTTTTCTTGGACTAAGTGATATATGATAAAAAAAACACTGTGATGGAGGCCACTTTTGCAGTGTTTCCCCAATTGTTATCAACTTCTGCAAGTGTTTCAACACCCCAAAACATTCTACACTTCCGTGTCAGCATGCTACATGTACATGTAGCTGCAGTATGAATAAAACAGCAGCACACTTTATATTATTACAAAGTTGTTATTCCTTTTGTGGTCTACAAGGACAGGACAAAACTGACATGTCAGTTTTGTCATTGCGTTGGTTCTGTTTCAAACAGAAATCACTCTCTGGTAATGCAGTTAAGAGTCATCACAAATCTCATCCAGGACAAGTTGCTGGCTAATTGCGGCTAGAGGGATTCCTTTAATCCGAAAGTCCTCTGGAAGAAGCTGTGCATTTACAGTGCCTTCCCACTTGAATTGGGAAAAGGTGGATCTTGATCCAGCATTTTGGTGTGATCATTATCTTACCGCAACAAAACCGCAAGTCGCTTTCCCACTCACGCTAGATCAACCTTTTCGGACAGAAATTTTGAGCCCGCGAGGTCACTGAGTTAGGTATTGCATATGTGCTAGCTTGCTGAGCGCACGCTTTGTGGCAGTGTTGCATGCTGAAGCGGCATGCGTATGACCCTTGCGGTGTTTTGAGTGTGGAGTTCTACTGACATGACGTCCTTAAATCAGACTGAATGTTCAGCCTAGTACGTTGTGTCTTCAAACTTTGCTTCCCTTTTTGATACTCCGTCACACGCTGCGGGCTATACGCTACCACCGAATTAGTTTTTGATGGAAAGCTAGTGAAATTACACAAATGAAAAAGGTTAAGAAACGGACGAACGTGCAACAAAAGTTGTGAAAAGGCAAGGCACACATCGCGACATGCATGCATTGCGCATGCGTGGTGACACATTTTACTAGCCCGTAGTTCAGCAGTTGTTTATTGTGCATGCTGTTCACATTAAAAATTTCACATGAGCTACACAAATTCACATGAAGAACAGGTTGTGGAGTCCTCAAGTCACAGCAATAATGAAAACCTGAGGATTGGCCCCCTTACGGTGTTTTGTGTCATTTCTCTCACTTGACAAACAACATACTGGGTGATAAGCAAATTAGAATTTTGAATCCAAGATGCACGGTTCATGTTTAACTAGGTTCTTTTTGGTTCCAGAAGACAGTCACAAAGTGATATATATTTGGTGGTTGATATACCAAACCTTTCAACCTTTCAAAATGACCATCATATTGTCTCACAAAGCTTTTCATACAACAGTGTTGTAGTCCAGTTCTTTTCCAAGTCCTGCAACTGAGGTATAAAGTAATATTGTAGGAATCAAGCCCATTCTGTATGTGCCTAGATTGTGTTGACCAAACACTGCGACTTAGTATGGAATACATCTGGATCCAATTTGCATATGCAGGAAATAAAAAACAGAATATTCAAAAACACATTTGAATATTTCTAACCATCACCATATATATATGTGGAAATGCTCAATTTCCTACTCATTATCACAAGTCCAAGAACTGAGAAAGTGCTGTCCCATTTCTTTCTTTCGTTGGACTTGGACTATTGCACTATCGCACCTTATAACTTTTTCAATGGACCTGCTATCAAACTGAGATTCAAAGACTATCTCTACCTATGAAAAAGAATATGAACAACACCAAAGATTTTCTAAATCTACTTACGGTAAACTTGGATGTGCCTTGAGGAAGAACAAAATTGAACAGGAGATAATCTGGATGGATGCGGAATCCTCCATAACCAAAGAGAACTGACTGAAGAAAGCCTCCCATACCAGTAATGAAGTTGATTGCCCCACTCCCAGATGCTGTCTCAGTCCATATCTATGAAAGCAAAGAAAGGACAATCATTTGGATAAAGGAGAATGCAGCATACCGTGTTGACTTGCTCATACCTTTGAAGTGGAGGAGAACCAGTGATATATAACACAAGTAACCAAGGTAATCTGAGAGGTGGAGACAGGTTGATGAAGGGGTTCAAGTTTACTTGGTCAGTTTACATTGGATTTGAATCTGACTTTGTCTTACAATGGAGTTACTTAATGCCCAAGGATTCTCTTTTCTAAAAAATGGCAGCATTTCAAGCGGAAAGATTTCACAGATTGTCTGACATTGTTATTTACTTAACGTTTAAAGATAATTTAAAGATGTTTAAAAAGACAAGTAATTCGGTAGTCCTGTTTTTGAGATTCAACAAATGGCATATTGTACCTTTAATCCAAGGAGGTCACAATAATACATACCCCTTAACCCTACCCCTTGGGTGTACGTGAAATCATATTGAAATTGGAGGATTTGGGACTTTTAGGGCTCCAGTGGAACGCCGCTATAACAAACACGACAGGATCCACGCTAAATGTTTGGTACAGTGGTTGTTCGGTATAGTGAAATTAACTGGCAAACGTTTCGTTGCTATGTTGAATAGCGCCCTCTCTTGTCTAACTGAAGTGCACCGTCTTGTGATACAATGAATAGCTGTTTTCGTGATTTTTGCCGTTGCATTCACGTTTGAGGTTTCTGGAAATGTATCTGTTAATTATTTTTGTTTTTTAGTTCTTAGTTTTTTGTTCTTGAGTTACAAAATTGATATTTAGTTTATCCTAAAAGTTATGAAGCTACCACTCAGGATCGATCTCTGATGCATGCTGTGGCGAATCTCGGTTGATTTGCAACTGCATAATGTTCAGTAGGTTTTGTGCACAAAATATTGGGAGCCAAGGACGATGTTCGGTACAGCCAAATATTCGGTATAGCGGTGTTCGGTATAGCGACGTTCCACTGCATTTTGATATCAATTTCACATCGATCTCAAAGACTACAAATTTTCTTCCCTAAAAATCCTTGGATCTGTAAAGCATTTCATGTCTGAGGATTTCAAGTTACCCAGGAGGTCAAGCTGGATAGAGCTTACGCATGCGCTACACTTACTTGGATAAAAATTACAAAATGGTGTCTCGGCATTTATATATTCCCTCTTAAATAGAGGTGGCAAACTGTACATGTGTACATGTAACTACTATTACTGGCTTCAAGAGAACCCATTATTGCCATAGTTAAATCACAGGTCATAAGTCACAATATATGCCTTTGGTGAAATCAACCCGGGTGACAAAAGTGCTAAGCTTTGATACTGGAGGCTTTTTATCAGCTACAGCCCAAAGCATACATGTACAGAAACTTACCCTAAACGGTTGTTGAATGTTCTTAAAATTGCGTTGGAACATCTCATCTTGTTTGTCAGATTCACGTATTTCCCCATATCCAATGGAGAACATGGACCATGACATAGCAGGTCCATCAGGGTCAGTTACAGGTGCATAGGTCCGTAGATCAACAATGCGTGGATCAATATCCATTTTAATGTTGAGTGGAAAGCCCAGCAGAATTGCATCAGCTTGCTTAACTTTGGTTCCTGATTTAAAAGAAAATCCAACAGCCAACCATATATCTTCTACAATAAGCTTCCTCTTCCTAAAAATGAGGGTTTTGGTTTAAAAAGAATATTGCTACTTCAAAGATTCCGTTTCTTTAGATTTTTCTTCAAAGTCAAAACTTTCTGAACTTTGCTCAAACTTCAGTCAAATGACTTCTGACTTTCTAAAGTTAGCTCCTAAACTTTGATACATTTGTTTCCTCCAATATTTGTCAATCAATAAAACCCATATGAGTAAAGAACATATGTTTTCATAAGCGGAATACAACTGCCCAATATATAACAGACTGACATCAGACAGACCAAACCCTACCTGCCTCACCAACAAACCAATTAACAAGACAAACATATAGACAAGTGGCCCTACGCAAGAGCAGGTGGACATGGTGGATTGTTAAAGTTAATGAAACTGAATGGAAGCAGTACTCAAATAGAAAATAATATACCACATTGCTGAGTTCATGAAGAGGGGCTCCTGGGTCTTTATACAGACTTGCTCCCAGTGCCTCCATCATCACTCTGAACTGTATACATCCACCAGTGGCCGGAAACCAGTCTACTGATAAACTGCTTATACAGTATATCCAATACTGAGGGATTCATTTAAATAAGGTAGCAACAGGTACAACAAAAACAAAACAAGTACCCAGCGTCATTATTCAGAGCAAACTGAGGCCCAAAGAGTCAATTTTTGCAAGTGATCTCATGTTACTCTTGCTGAGTCTCAGACTGATACTTCAAGACACGGAGGACAGATCTAGAGACAAACACTTTGAGGCCCAAGATCCAGACGAAACGTCTGAGGCTTTAGGACCACACAGGTACAAGAATGAGACCAAGAGAGAAATCTACATGTAGGTGTCGACATGGTCTTGAAACAAACACCTGATCTAAAGACCTCCATTACTGATCTGCTTACCTATGTTATAACCTTCATACTCTGGGTGATAAGTGTGGAGAATGTCGTACACAATCAACAGCTTATCAGCTATTTTTGCCCAGGATGAGGGAGCGGTGACATTGATGAACTTCCCTGCATATGCTGGCAAGCGAAGACTAATCTGAGCCACAGCATTAGTGTAGACAGAGTTATTGACATTGGAGTGGTACTCATCTGGGGGTTTGACACCTGCAATTAAGCACATCTGCACCTTGGTGGATGACAAAAAACACAAATCAGACTTCAACATTTGGACAAGGCCTCATGTTTTACAGAACTTACATTCATGTTGAGTATCCTGTGAATAAATGCTCAAGATTGGATAAATTGGAGCTTGTGATTTTAAATTTCAAGCTTGAATAGTTTAAACTTTGCAAATTGGAAGAAGTATGATCCAATTAAAACACTTTAATATTCTTTAGTACTTCCTTTCTCTCAAGCTGCTTGAAATGATTTTAGAAAGAAATCCTCCTTGCAAATCATCTGACTGTTTTGTTATTTATGCCTCATAATAACAATAGTTAATACATTTATAAAGCGCAAATTTCATATAGATACAGTGCATGTTCAAATGCATGTATGTTCAAATGCGCTGTACAATGAAGACATTAAGCGTGGAACAATGAATACATTTAAACATGGTTAAGCCGATGGCATACACAGCCGATGGCCTACAAAGGCGCCTCGGGCAGCCGCCAAACGACCCATATTCATCAACATCAGTAAAGGGGAGACAGTAAGAAGCAGTTACCGTTTTAGAGGTGGGAGGAAAACCCCAGAGGAATATTCTGGATAAAACCCACGAAGTCAGGTAGGGACTGAAAACCCAATCCACATGTGGACCGCGTTGGGAATCGAACCCGGGACCACAGAGGTGGAAGGCAAGGAAAGAACTACCTTGCCAACCTGACTCCCCTACAATTCGTGCAGTAAAAAAATTAATCTTGTTTTCTCCTGCAGAGGAAACTAAATCATGAGGACTGTCAGGTGTAATTGCTGGATGAGATTACATCAAGAGGTAACAATGAAGCTTTTTGGAAAAATAATGGCTTCTTGCCAGCCTGATAAGCACAAGATCTATTGTTATCGCTTCTTGCTGGCCTAATAAGTACAAGATCTATTGTTATCGCCTCTTGCTGGCCTAATAAGCACAAGATCTACTGTTATCGCTTCTTGCTGGCCTAATAAGCACAAGATCTATTGTTTTCACTTCTTGCTGGCCTAATAAGCACAAGATCTATTGTTATCGCCTCTTGCTGGCCTAATAAGCACAAGATCTATTGTTATCGCCTCTTGCTGGCCTAATAAGCACAAGATCTACTGTTATCGCTTCTTGCTGGCCTAATAAGCACAAGATCTACTGTTATCGCTTCTTGCTGGCCTAATAAGCACAAGATCTACTGTTATCGCTTCTTGCTGGCCTAATAAGCACAAGATCTATTGTTTTCCACTCATCAGTCACAATAAAGTTGGTAGTTGGATCATGCAGAATACGCTGCATGTATTTTCTTAAATTTATAATGAAGTTCATACAGTAGATTCCCATTATAGCACTCCCTGATATAATGTTCTTACCAATGTAACCCTCTATTTTCGTATCCCCAACTGCACGCCCATTCACCGTGCACATTTTTATGTGGTTAGAGTGCTCCCGTTTACAATGCTTGTCGGGATATAACGTTCACGATTTTCGGCCCCAAGAACCATATATAGTATGTGAAATGATTCCGGTTACAGCGCTCTTTACCTTGGAAAATCAGATTCTTTAAAAATAAAGCGAATGAAACCACATCGAAAGGTCACCGCGACTGGCCGGCTATCCTGATCGCACAGAGTGGAGACATGCACACGTCCATGCAGCGCGATCGCGAGCACGTGCTCACCATGGTGAGCCGCGGCGGCGTGGCTTTTCTGTGGCAACATTGTAGTGATTATTTTCCCACTTTTTATTTATTCTCGTGGTGTAGTTTGGGACACAAAATGATCAACAGTGAAATACTACATGTAGTATTTTGTTACTTAAAGGTTTCTTTCTACCGATAGATAAAATCAGCCGCTTAAACTGTAGTGTATCTTTGTGTAGCAAATCTGGTCATTTCGCCGATAGTGTTTAGTGACACACGTCGGATCGCTTGGGCTTTGTAATGACGTATCACTTTCTGTGGTCACATGGTTATTGGGAAAAGTCAGCGATTGGACTGTCCATGAATGGGTACGCAGTAGCAGTCAGGATGTCATGGTGGGTGTGGATCAATGTGTGTGCCGCGATGCAGTATGCGGTCTTTGAAGAAATTTGGTGTTGTTTTTTTATTAATGTCACGAAAACGTGGAGATAAACAGATACAAGGCATATACTCCAAAAATTACGGTGCACACATCTACAAATACATGTACATGTAAAACAAATTCACATATATGACATACTGTACATGTAGATACATGTATCTTTACATGTACATAGAAGTACGTGCACATGTGCATTTGCACGTCCATACTCAGGTACAGCGCTGTGCAGTTATAACACTCAATTCTGTTAGGTCCCCTTGAGGGCGCTATAATGGGAATCTACTGTAGATACCAACTCACATATACATGTACTACTACTGGACATACCTAGGATTTCATAATTCCCTGACATGCTGTTGTACTCCACACGGCTGGCCCAGTATTTGGCCAGCTCTGATATAATCTCATAGCCCCGCCGATTCTTTAAAAAGTCAGCATCTCTTGTAACATGAAGATACTGCTGGACAGCAAAGGATATGTCACCATTAATGTGGATCTCCTGCAAACTGTAGATTTCAGCTGGGCACACTTCTGCTCCTGTAAAAGAGAAGACAATTCCAAAGAGCAAATCTGTAAGAGCAGATTTTGCAACTGAACACAGACCACTCGAAACTGCTAAAACTGTCTAAGAATGAATTTCATGAATTAATATGCTGAGTGAGGTAATATTGTTTGAAATAATTTGTTCCTCTTGTAAGAAGTACCACATACAGTGAATAGTGGACTTCAATCTTTGATCTGCAGGTAATCTTAATTTCTAATTACATTTCTCTATGAAACGATGTCTTTGCTTCTACAAATTTTTATGTCACTCCATATTTGCTGTTTTAGAGTCCTCCAGTGCTGTGCCTCAGCCACATATGGTCAGGGCAGTAAGTTGGAATAGAGCTATTCAGCACTGGATGGAGCTTCACATTACGTGTTAATGGTGCTGAGCAAAAGAATGCTATGAACTAGCTGGAACTTTTCTCATGCATGTACATGTATGTATGAATGATGTTTGCATTTTCTAGCACACCTACATTATTTTTGTGGCTTTCAAACTTTTTTTGGGGGGCCCAAAATTTTTGTAGGCCCTAGGAAACATGTGTGCTGTGCCTATTGGATAATCCAGTCCAGCGTTCAGCAAATATGATTGCAGGGTAGGACAAGCTAGAGCTGTGCTGATTATTCAAATATTCAGGTATTCACTCAATTATAAAATATTCACGTTTTTTAAAATTAACCATGCAGTGAAAATCAGTGTGATAAAGAGGTAAAAATTCAGTTGGGTTACAAAATTGAATTTTGAAAAAAATTCAATGTGTTCCAATAAAAAGGCAGCTGAATGCATACATGTGACCTGTGGAGGCAAAATGAGTATAAAGTCAAAGTCTGCTTTTCCTATGATGGTTCAAAATTGAAGGGAAAGTCAATTTGTGGGCTCTGTAATATTTGGAAAGAGTACCCCCTCTGATTAATCCCAAATTTTTCACAGGATCAGATATCTAAAAAGGTCATTTTTGACCAATTTTGATGACAGCATTATTCATGCCTGGTCAGAAATGTTGAAACAATGTTGGAGACAGAGACTCAGAGCTGTCAGCATAATGTCACATTGTCATCCTTATTTTTACCCCAAGTGTACCATTGGAAAGCTCTTGCTTAAATATAAAAATAATATTTCAATTTTCAAAGATTCTGAGTTTCGGTTCATTTTGTGGTGACAGGTCATATATGCCCAACAATAAGGCAAACAACTGCAGCCATTCCGTCAAGCTTTTCTGTTAATTTGTGTAAAATGTAAATTTTACATCTGATTTGTGGGAATTTGTATCGAATATTTAAATATTCAATTGAATAGAATGCTTAACATATTCAAATGTTTTATTATTAAAACTGACTTAGCTTTAAAGACTGCAATAATATCCTTTGCAGTGTACAAAATCTGTAGGTTTGTGGTGTATTTTGGGGCTGCTCGGTTGATCCTACTAACCTGTGTAAGCCATCTCCCATGGATACTCAGCTCCTTGGTAGCCTCTCGACTTGGCTAAGTCCTTAGCTGCATCCAGATGATACGTTCGTGATTCCAACATGGTCCTACCCAACTTGGGATGAAACATAAGCATTGTGGGATACATCCAGGTCTCCTGATCCCAGAACACATGTCCCTCATAGTCAGTGTCAAAGCGGCCGTGAGCCAAGCCACCAGGGCTTAAGCCATAGAAATGGAAGGGGAACTGTTGGTCATCATAGTTGATGGAGGGAAGTGAACTTAGTATGTAGTACATGCTGCCATAAATTGCCTTTGAAAGTGTCACATTATCAACTTCCATTAAGCCACTATTCCATTTATTCTGCCATTCCATGTAGTGATTGCTGTACAACATTCCAGCTGATGCCAAACTTGAACCATACGCTTGGAAAAGTGAGGCTACAGTACTGTTAGGTCCAATGGCCGTGATGAACGTCCAAGTTTTTGTGTTTTGATCTGACGGTAACGTGATGGTGTCTGGAATGATAGTCCAGTTGACAGCAATTGGTATGGTGGAACTTGTGCTGGTTTCTGATTCTACAGTGTTGCCATACATCAGTCTGTTTTTAGAAGTGATAAAATCAACAATCATTTTAGGATCACAACAACAGAATTCATGACATTGGGAGTAAACTTCAACCATAACAGATGAAGTGAAAAAAAAGATCAAGGAGTGGGACAAACTGGCTTTCATACCGTTTGGTTACTTGCTTTTGAAATTTGTGTTCTTTATTAGCCCTACTCCTGGCAAATTGGCCAAAACCAACTCCCAGTTTTCATGGATTATATACCCCAGTGAAACTCGCTGAAAATCAACTTGAAGAGAGGGTGAGTCAAAAAGAGTTATATCCGCAATAAACAAACAGAGCAATCCAATCTGTTTATAGACCTCATAAAGCCAAAGGTAAAGACACATTTTGTGCACGACATGCCACTGTACAAATGTACATTACTTTTATTAATGTATATACACATTGAATTGATCTATATTACTAACCCAGAGCCATCATCGGAAGCTGACATCTTGAAGTTGATGTCTTTGCTATCTATCCCAGTATTGTTCATCAATCTGAGGGTTATAGGGTCTGTAGGTTGTCCTGTCCTGGTGACAACAATCTCATTAACCAGAATGTAAGAGACATTCTGGTGCGCATAAATCCTCTGCTCTATGAAAGCTACATCAGTTCTAACCTTACGATGAAAAGTTCCTGGAAAAGTCCAAATGTACAGAGCATTACAATGTGAACTTGTGCCAAAAGAAATACCGTTTCTCTATATTCATATGGTCTCTACTTCTTGACAGAACAGAATGGAAAGTGTAAAAGGAACGTGTAACCAATGGAACTGAGATGTTCAGCAGTACCAAGAGTGTAAAAACACAACTTATGAACTGATTAATCAGTTCTATGATACCAAAAACTTGTCATAAATGGGGTTACTGCTTCACATCAGCAAAGACTAAAATGAAGATACATGTATCAGTGATTATGTACATTTACATGTACATTTGCAATGCACATTTTTAAAAATACCACTTCAGCAACTTCTTTCTATGTACATGTAGTTTCATGAGTGCTTTAAACAAATACCGTACATCTTCTGGTGCATGTACAAAAACTATACCTTTGTAGTTCACTAATACAAATTTCTCAAGAACAAGTGACACTTTTCTAACCATTTTCAAGTTCCAATGAGTATGACTCCTTTGAAATGTTCACTTTTGCTGGTAAAGAGATTTTAATGGCTGCTGTGGATGGAATCCTTGCTCGATGACTTGCACCGCCACGTCCATTGTAAAGTCCATTCACATAGATGGTGTCACTGTAGACAACTGTTGCCAGGTAACCATTGCCAACGGCTGGAAGACAACAAGCCTCAGTCGGAAGTCTGAAAATATAAGATGTGAAATTGTTCCTTTGTAGATATTTCAGTCACTTTATAATCTAAACAGTACAGGATTTTTGACAATTTGATGCGGTTGAGTACAAGCACTCTTTTATTTTCCTGTTGAACAACAGGTAAGCAGTGCTGATCTACTTAAGACTAATCCTAACGCAAAAGCACTGTACATTACGGAAGCCCTATTTATATACATTTGAAGCAAGATATGGGATGGAAATAAACCCTCCCCTCCCCCTGTGTTGGTCATTGTTTTTCTTTTAAGACATCTAGGGGGATGTGTTAGGTAACAACAGTTTTAACTGTGTATTGGGTCTGGACATGTAGGGGGTACTCCTCCATCCTATATTTTGCCGGGTATATCTATTTTGCAGAAATTGCAAAATTGTCAAGGAGCGGTATGTACATGGTGTGATGTTTCTGCCACGATAAAGGCTACACATGCACATGTAGGATTGGTCCTCAAAAACACAGGTGAATAGTTTTGAATCAATGCACGGGCACAGCAATATCAGATTACTTGGTTGCCACCACAGAATCCAAAGGCATGTGCATGAATTTTGGCATAAAAAGTGGTTGGACAAAATGCAGTAATTAGCATAATCAGCTTTATTCTGCCATCAATTTTTGAAAAGAAATAATATACCAATTAAGGTCTCGCAAATGAGCATAAAACCTAAAGTAAAAACACCTGTCTGATGTCCAACTCTGCAAACATGGAACACTATTCAACTGGGCCCCCGCCCCGCTCCCTGATGACAGAAACAATGCTCTACTAACTACATGTACATGTATACACTTGTTGCATCTTATTGCAAAAGAAGAATTTGGGCAAAATCTAGTCTAAACTCAGAAAAACAGTGAAAACAATGTAATGATGGAAGACAGACTACCGAAGCACATCAGAAACCTATCCAGACATGCTTGTACAACTGCATCTATCAATGATCGACCATCAAAATAGGAATCTTGTCTCTGTTTGTACACATTCTTTCCACAGTCACGTCACAGGACTACTGACAACTGAACCATTTCAACAGAGCTGGATATCAGTCTTAGGCTTTGTATTCAACGGTTCTAATCTTCTGAAGACAAGTCTCCTTCCACATTGAATAGCGACCAAAATTGGCTGGTAAAATACTTAATATCTTATTCTCATTCTTTTCCTCGATCACATTGTGGAGAGTTTCTCGGCTAAATCGTGAGAAATGTTTGCATCGTTTTGTTTTAGTTCAGTGTGAGTTACAACACAATCAAAATACTTCAGAAAATCTCACTAACTTACTCTGCAGACTCAAAGACATTTGGCAGCAAAGATATGTCCTTGTATTTCTGGTTGCAAGGACAGCCATTGGTCATGTTGGTGGAAGTACGTCTTTTAGCGCTATGGAAGTGACACTGATCGATCATACAGTACAGTGACAGTATGACAACCACACTCCTGATTACAAGGGACATGGTTGATTACACCTGAAGAAAAAAAATCAGCATACACAATACGTTGAACATGCCTTGAACTTTTAATTTTATAAATCTGTCTCCTCATCAGCCCTCAAAGTAAACTACAACTTTCTTGTGCTTTGAACAGCTAATGAATAAGTTGGACAACAACACCCCATTCTATAGTGAAAACATAAAACCAAAAACATATTTCACAAGCTGTCAAGAGAAAAGGAGTGGAGATCGTGATGAAATGATGCCACTCAATCACAGGAATTCTAATATGTGCCAGTTGTATAGGCCTAGTACCAAAGTTTATCAGAGAAGTGAACCACAGCTGTCTGATTCACTGCATCTGGTCCACATTCACACCACTACCATCTAAGTTGTGGAATGCTTTACCACTACACATTCAACAAGAACAGAGATTTAACTCCTTCAAATGCAAGCCCCCCCAAAAAAATTCCAAATCATTATAATTATTATTATTATTATCTACCCTCTGGAGGTTCACCAGTCTATCTGTCTAAGTTTACAGAAGCAGAGTGATGATCCCAAGAGTTTAGATATGTATACATGTTGCTATCCGTCGCATAGGCCTTTAGTGCAGACTACCCCTGAACCGACTGCCAGAACTGGAAGTAGGCCTACTCAAGAACTAGTTCACGTACACCCTATTGATAGCGCCTCTTGAAGTACCTCCTATCCTTGGCCTATAGCTTGAGTACCTGCAGCCCTCGGCATTTCCATTAGGTCATAAGAACAAATACCAGTACTAATAGTTACTCTAAACAAAGCAGTAGCACTGACTAGTACTCAACAATTTCCTTTTTACACATGTAGCATTACGTGTACTTGATTTAGTAATAGCCTACATGTAGAAAAAAAAGCAATTCTGGTCCGAGCCAATTTGGCTCATCAGGCCGGTGTTTATCTCCGGTTTCCCTGGCATGAAACGACTGAGAATATTTCTATTCCCCCCTGGATGGGATGCCAGTCCATCGCAGGTTGCTTCCCCATCTAAGGCTGGTACCCATTTATACTCCTAGGCAGAGAGAGGCAAGCAGGTATGAAGAGGCTTGCCAAGGGCCACAACATGCTGCCAGCAGCTGGATTCAAACCTGCAACCCTATGACTAGAAGCCACAAACCCTAACCACTTGGCCACTTGCCCCGTGTGGCCTACATGTAGCCGACATGTGCTACTGTAAAATACATGTAGGTACTGTATATCATATTCCAATCCAATTACTCTTGTACATTCTAGTGCCTCCTAATCAAGGGCTGATCCAGGGAGACTGGGGATCCAACAAGGAGCCCCCGAACATAAGCCGCCCTACTAGCCTATCTGTTTTAACTTAGTAAGCCCAAGTGAAAGCAAACATTTTAGTTTGTTCCATTTCCGTCTCTTCAAACATTGTCAAAAATCATGTAAAAAGCCCCCAAAGCCTCATTGCTCAAACTGGCCAGAAAAAGAATCCAAAGAAGAGTAAACATTATTGGCCCCCTGATGAGTTTCCCCCTCCCCCGAAATAAAGGTTGGTTCTGGTACTAGATCCCACCGATGTGAGGTTAGTTACTTATTCTTCATTTGATGTTTGACATTTAGCGTTGAGCAAGTAACCATTTGATATTCAATGTTGAATAAGTAATAGTTTGACATTCATTCAACGTGCGCTCATATGCAGGATTAGCCGCACTAGAGTGGCACGATCTCTCTCTCGATCAGGATGGATCGGGAGTGAGAGTCCGTGCCACAGTAGAGGGGCTAATGCAGGATGCACTCCCCAAATAAAGCCCTTGCTAGCATTCTGGTTCCAATAGAAAAATGGAGTGCAAATGTAACAAACAACTAACTGCACCACTATGCACATGCATTCAAACATACATTGTATATAGACATCATGTCACCATGATGTACGCACACACAACTCTGATGTACACACTATGTATTGGTTAGGGATGCCAAGGTTGGGGCTGCTTATGACACAGGGGAGTATAGCCATGGGGGGTTGTGTCCCAGGCCCGGCCCCCCAGAAAAAATTTGCAGTGCCCTCAGGACGGACCACCCGTGCCCCCCCAAACGACATACATGTAAATGGATGAATAGATACTATTGAAAAAAGCCAACGCTTGCCCCCAAAAACACACCACTGAAAGCTGGTGGCCCTTGTGCCCCCCCCCAACTAGTAAAATCTTAGCTCTGGGTATGACCAGGATACTGGGATGAAATTTTTGGAGATGAAAGATTTTTAAGTTCCAATAAAAGCAGAAGTAGATAAAACTGAGTGTTTTTCCCTCAAATAATGATGTTGTAAGAATGTCAACAACATTTGAGAGCTTGTTTGACTTGACCCCACCCCCCAAAATGTACGTGAACTTGTAGGCTAAATGTGCCTGGATGTGCATTGTGGCGCAGCTTGCTTTTCGCTCCTTTTGCATTCCCCCGTTTCTGTTGTAACCAGATTGTTAACAGGGGCTTTGTTAGGGGTGTACATCCTGACCGCTCACCAAATCAAATGCATAATGTCAAACTGTTACTTATTCATGGCCGAATATCAAACGAGTTACATGTACCGGTTCATGTACTCGTTCAACACTGAACATATGAGGAATCAGGAATCGCATCAGTTCTAGAGCTCCCTCAATCATTTTAATCTCCTTGCTGAAGTTACTCTCGATACACGATCTAGACCCGTAAACAGGGCCCGACGAATACTCCTCCGTCGTGTACTGGATTCGTTGGGCTCTGTTTACGGGTACGGCCGGGTCTCGATCTAGCCCAGGTGGACTCCCTGACCGTACTAGTAGTAGTCGTTACGGAGGGAGTCCAGAATATAAAGGGTGCAAAATCGGAAGAAAAATTTTATAATTAAAATTTTCAACACTTCTACCTTTTCGGAGGAGCCAATTTCACGTCTGTAACTCCTATGCGTCCTTATCTCCACAGCTGGAGGGTTAAGAAATTCAACACCTCACCACCAAAGACATACACGGGAAAATGTAGTCCGATTGTTGTGGACTGTTTGGAGTTGCCGTTCTCCAGTGCAGTTGGTACAGTGTGCGCGCGCAACTATTCGGCGTACGAGATTCCGAGCTTCGTACACGCACATCGAAACTACATGTTCTGACCAGAACCAGCGAAACTGAAGTCTGACCGAATCAACTCGTTTTTTGAAAACGTTTCACATGAAGCATGTTACTCATAACGTGATTCTCAACCACGAGTACCATTGATCTCCATGCCGAGTACACACAACATCGGGCCGCGGCGAGGCTACGGGGTGCGTTGGTGACAGTTGGCCTAGTTAATGCAAGCTGAGTCTACTATGGTCAGTAGGCCTACGAGAAAGCTAAAATTCATGATTTTTACAAATCCTGGCCATTTTTTAGCATGTACTATGTGTTAACAGGTGGACTTAAAATAGACAGACAAAAGTTGTCCACAAAACTCGATATAATTAAGGGACTCCCGGCAGTTCCGTGTCGAGGGAAATTAAATCCAGCAAGGCTTAGGCACATTTCTGTTGCTAGCAATTTACTCATAAGGATTTGCGGCCCATTTCAAAAGTTATACCGAATACTTTCTTTAGAGCTAGAGAACTTTTCGAAACACGCTGGCCCAGATAAGTATTTTTTAAATAAACTAGACTGATATTAGAGTCAATAACGGCGATTAACAATCATGATCTCCTGGGCCTGAATCAAAAACGAAAAATCACCCTTTTTGAGACTGAGTATTTTGAAATTGCACATTGGGGATCCATCGCCCGATAACCAGACAGAGCTCCCGCATGACCGTAAACGTCAACCTCTCAAGCTAATCATTGAATTTTAAGCCCACTGACAAAACTATTCGGCGACATTTCTTCGGGCTGGCGAAAACATTGACAAGAATATTGGACGGTACTTCTGATTACAGAGGACTCCAAACAATTACATAGTACACATGAATTTGAGTTTCTAGCCGTTTGATGTAGGCCTACGTGAGGGATTCACCTCCACCCAGGCCGTATGATTATGAATTAGGAGATTTTTAAAAACTCCCACCCAGTCCAGCTATCTGCCCATTGTTCTAAAATCCAACTCGTCACTTCCAATAACCAATTCAGTCTGCTTATTGTTTGTTTAGTTTACGAATAAAAAATGACAGGCCGATCAACAGCACGATTTGTGCATGATCGCTACTTACAGTAGTAGGCCTACTGCCTCTGCATACTGTGTTCCCCATAGCATCGCTCTTGCCTGTTCATCACGATCATCATGCCCGAAATGTAATCCTCTTTTTATTCCTCAATTATCAAGATGAGTTACTGTTTCATTTAAAAAAGGCGGATCTCTACAACATTGTGTATTTATATATCTCTAGTCAATAAAACTCTACAAACAAATTAAACATGTTAAACACGTACCTCAAAGAGAGATCGTTGATAATCCTGTACAGGAACCCTACATATACAAGGCCTTCTACGTTAACCGAGGTTATTCTTATAAAATAGCAAGTTGTGCGACAAATTTATGTTTATAAACCGAAATATAAAGCAAACCAAAATGTAAACATTTTAGGGGTAACCAATAGGGGGTTCATTGGTCAGTTTGAAGCCGCCGATCCGACAAAAACGGAACTGCAATTTTTTTATCGGCTCGACGGCATGCGGGTAAAAGCCGGGTACCAGGCACGACCTCCGTGTCGCATGCAGGCGTGCAACAGACCTTCACTGGAAATGCGCACGCGTAGTGCGTGCACACAGTCGGATTCCACATGCGGGCACTTATAATTTACAATTCGAGAACGGATGAATTACGTCTACGAAAGTAACGTTGTCTCTCACTTATTTTCGTCGACTTTGCAGTCCATGGTTCGTTCTGAAATTCCTAAACCCCCAGACGAATAGGTAAGGCCAAGAAGAACTTTTAAACATGAAAAATTAGTTTCTTCAATAAGGTAGACCAAAAACAAATTAGAACCAATTTTGTGGTCGTTCTGTACACAACTTGTATACCCTGGACGTCAGTCGTAATCATGAAATGAAGACAACGTCCAAACTGGGCTACTCTCGATTATGAAGGAGATGGTGAGGTAGGGGTCCGTTAAACAGGGTTACGCTACAACCTCGACTCCATGGGCTGCGTGGGCATTCCTTCACTAGCTAGCTCTGGTCGTGTATACAATAAATGCTGACTGGCTATTCAGGATTAACCGCATGCGTATTTCAAAAGCTATAGGTTTGCGCCAACGTACGTGCCATGCACTGCGTAAATCTGCGTCATGCGTAAACACATCGCCTACAGTCCTCATTTAAATCTCCAAAATAGTGGAATATTTGAATTAAAACCAGGGGTCAAGATCACGCAAGGCCTGGTGGGAACCAACATGGCACGGCAAGGTCGTACCTATGGCAATGAGGTTGGGTCGTGCTCCTACCACTGCTTAGCCTAGTACTAGTGGGCATAAACTCTACCCGTTGAAGACAGTATATCGTGGGTGCATAGAGATCATAGGTAGAACTAGAGGTGACATGGGGCTTACAAAATTGTCCCATAACGCATGAACGTCTTGGAACTTCATGGACACCTACGCATACATGTGAAACACGTACAAGTGCACTGAAACAACGTGTCGCCCATCTGAATTGATGACGTCAGAAAATTTGTTTTTTAAAAGCTTCAAGGGTGTAGAAGACTACGGACTGAACCACGTGAGCGGGTAAAACATTTCAGTGTAATTGAACACAATGTCACCCTGTTCAGGCCGCATTTGCGTAACGTAAAGAATAGGCCCATCAACTCTAGCTTTATTATTATCTCTATGCTTGAGTGTTCTTAAACACTTTTAAATAGCTCCATCTGGCAACTGCAGTGTACTAAAGTGCGCCCTCGTTCCCATAGGGATGGGTACGATCTTGTCGCACCATGGTGGTTCCCACCATGCCCTTCACGATCTTTGAAGAAGACTGATTCCCATCCCATGACAAACATGGACTTAACTGAGGTATTCCATCCTTCAATGGGCCTGTGTATTCCTCCGACCATTGGTACTAGTTTGCACGGCACACCATGACATGGACACTGACTAGAGTGTGTCTTGGCTCTCAGTCGTCTGGCATCGCAACAAAATTTCAAGTGGGTCCAATGAGCACATTCTTCAAACATGCATTGTCCCACTGGCGGTGGCCAATGCCCCCCCCCCTTTTCGACTGGTGGGGCCTCCCCCCCCCACACACACACATTTTGCAGGTCCTATATAACTGGGTGGGGCTCAATGGATCGACCAAAATAATGACTGATGCCTGATGGTCTAACAACTGCCCCTCTTTGAGAAAATCGTTCCGCCGCCGCTGTGTTGTCCCCAAGACGTTAAATAAATGCAGTGAGACTTTGCTAGCTCAATTTGGTACGGTACCGAAGACAAACGCAGCGTTTATCCGACTCGCCAATTTCATCTTCACTGACGTACTTCATCCGATTCTTCCGCGATTCTTCAGAAAGACAGCTCATTGTCACCGCTTTTCTTGACGATCTGACAGTCGATGTCTGCCATCCTACATGTTCCAGGCTGGGAAGAATTTAATTGGACAGGAGTGGACTGCTTCTGACTAGTCTCTGCCTTCTCAGATTCTACTGCTTTACGTGTCGTCTTCTGTTTCTTCGAAGACACTGATTGTTGATATTCTCGTATCTTTTCTATAGTTGTGTCTTCCGTTCTTACTCTCCCTGAAACTATTGACGTAGCTCATACACTTTCTTTTTTTTCGCAGCTTTCTTCCTTTGTCCCAGTCTTTTTTCTTTCGCCTTGAAAAACGTATTCACGTCTTCTACTCTTCAGTGGCGTAGTTACGGGGGGCCTGGGGGCACATGCCCCCCCCACAAATTCCCAGTGCCCCCCCCACTAAAAACGGACGAATGGATATTGAACGAGGCTAACAAAAGCTTGCCCCCAAAAATCACACCACTGAAAGCAGGTGTCCCCATAAGATATGCTGGTGCCCCCCTTGTGCCCCCAAGTGAAATCCGAGCTACTCCGCTGCTACTCATCAGTGCAATTCTGTTGGAGTTGCTCACACCGTTGTGTTGATGAATCAGAATTCTGACTACTTTGTAGGGTAATCCGCTGCTGATCTTGATGACGTATTGTTGACTCTTCGATCGTACTCAGAGGTTTGCAAAGAATCGTCGATATATCGACGACGTTTGAATCCAGTGGGTAAATTTCTGCCCGTTCCTCAAGGAACTTTGCAGGTTTCCCGGTGAGAGTGCCTTCTCATATTGGCCCTTGCATGCCAGCCCGCATATCGCAAATTTGTCAATTCCGATGCAGGAGTTAGCACGCATGTACCTGTGGCATTTTGCATTGTACACCCTCTGCAAGGTCCAAAGCAGCCAACATCCACGGTCTAAAGAATGTGGCTGGTGTGTGTCGATAGAACAAAGAGTAAAATGTTATTCTTCTTTGCCCAGTCAATCTCTGTTAGTGAAGTACGTGACTTGTGGCCATCGTAAAACACGACCACGCACAGTCTCATTTTCAGAGGTACTCTGTGCGTGGTCGTGAAGATGAGCCAGAAGTGTTTGACGATTTCACTGACAGTGGTACCCAGTGATTGATGCGGGTGAGGAATTCAGCTTTGCTCCAGTCGATCTTGTGGTCTTCGACGTGGGAGTACTTGATGATGGCAGACTTGTCATATTCTCCTTTCCTGCCATAGGCTCTGTGTTCATTGAGTCTGATAGGGAGGTCCCTGCAGACGGTCTCACCGATGTACAATTTGCCACATTAGCAGAGGATCTTGTACACTCCTGGCTTGTGTCGTGGGTTGTTTTGGTCCATGTGGGAAGTCAGTAGGTTCTGCATTTTCGAGGGGGGGGGGTTGTATGGAACACTCGAATGCAATATGCTTGTGGAGGATGCGCTGGATGTGATGGGATGTACTGCCTAGGTAGGGGAGGGTAATGGAACTATAAGGGACCATAACTACTTGGCTTTGGTTATAGGAGACCCTTCAGCCAGGGGTGGATCTTGGGTCTTGACTTAATCTATTCCGCTGTAGTGCCGTGGAGATATGATGGAGTTCTTGGGTGAGACGTTCCTTGTCGCAGACGCTGTATGCCCTGCGTACAAGGGCCCAGTTGACTTAAGACTTGTTCTTGGGGGCATGGAAGGACGCGCTTTGGAGGTATCTGTCTGTGTGGGTAGGTTTCCGGTATACTCGGCGGGTGAGAGTCCCATCCTGCTTTCTGGATACGTCAACATCAAGAAATGAGATGTTGCCATCTTTGTCTTGTTCCATTATGAACTGGATATTACTGTGAAACCAGTTGAGGTGTTCCAGAAAGAGCTCGAAGCTATCCTGCCCATGCTGCCAAATGACGAAGGTGTTGTCTTCGTACCGGAGCCAAATCTTGGGTCTGTGATCCTCAGTGTTGATAGCGTGCTGCTTAAATTCTTCCATGAATATGTCAGCCAAAACGAGGATACAGGAGATCCCATACAGGTTCCGGCTGTTAAAATCTATCTCTCCATTTGAAGTACGATAAGTTGACGCAAGTGAGCAGCAGGTCTTTCTGGAGCGTAAGGTGTTGAATGAAGTTGGCGAACTGGTTGGAATCCTTGATGTGGTGTTTGGCGTTGCCAACCAGGGGTGCAGTATAATGGCAAAATGTCTGGCTGTGTTGTAAGTTGGACCACCTCTAGAAGCGACGATTGGGCGTAGTGGACTATCCGCCTTGTGGATCTTGGGTTGCCCAAAGAACCTTGGGCATTTGGAGTCGGCTGGCGGCGGGGAGCTTTTGCTATTGCTTTCTCTAGAGACGGAGGTTATGATCTTTCTTGAGTACCGTGGCAGCTGGAGACAAGAATGTCTGCTACCTTGCGATCATATTCGATCTTGTCCAAGAAGACCACCGTGGCGTTGCCCTTGTCCGCCTGGAGGATCTGGATTATCTCGTTTTGGCGTAGCGAGTGATGGCTGACCGGTCTTGTCTTGAGAGTCTGGGCTTGGCAGGCTTTTATTTCCGGAGGGCTTGGTTGATTTGCAGGCGGATCTTGTTGGCTGTAGACTTGTCGACACGGCGAATGGCTGGTTCGGTGCATTGGATGACCTCTTCAACGGGTAAGTGCTGGGGGTTAGGGAATAGTTCATGCCCAGCGACAGGACTTTTGTGTTGTCTGCAGAGAGGGACCTATCACTGAGGTCTACGGTCTTGCTTTAGCAATATTTTCACTATAGGTCGGTTCAATCGTGACTCGTTCAGTGTGTAAAACTCTGAGAATTCCACCAGGACATGCAATAGGTTTTGTCAGTCAATATGATGTCCAAATTGTCCATGTGTTTTTCCGGCTGGTTTTGATGTGCCTACACTGAAAATAATCATCAATAAAATGATTTTAATTTTACACACTCTCAGGAAAATTTGTATTAAATGAAATACATTCATATATTGAGTAAGTTTTATTGAAAACCGACATGCGGCAAACGGAAGAGTGAGAATCTTTTCTGTGAACACAAAGTGACCGCAGCGTTAAATGAGCGACCAAACTAACTCACTGCCGTTTTTAAAACAGACATTTATTAATCAGCTTTAAAAGTTGAGTTCACAACCTGACTTAAAGAGTTACATTTAACAACTACTTTCCGGCATGAAAACGTCAGTTTTAACTGAGAACGAATAATTTTGTTATGTAGACA